TTTGTTTAGGTAACTTTTTCTTTTAACAGAAAATTAACCACATTTAACAACTTGAATAGCATATATTCAGATTGCATTCTTTGGAGTATAAATAAAAATTTTACATTTGAATATCAGAGAATAACTCAACAACCATGCTATTAAAACCAAATCGTAGAAAATCAATAGGTCTTTCACTGACAGTGGACAGAACAAAAATGGTAAATCAAACTTGTGATTCTTACATGACACGCCTTCATCAGTGATATCAGCCATCTTGCAAGAATGAGACATTATCTTTACAGTGAGTTTGTCCATTATTAGTACCTGCAGGCAAGCAGTTCATGAACCATACAAGATGGTAAACAAATGAAGCATGATGTTTTAGTCATTTTCAAGCTAAAGTGGGTTCCTTGAAAAAGAAACAAATGTGTGGATTAAAAGTCAATCTCCCTGTGAAGAACCAAGAATCCCAAAAGCTTATATTATTAGGAGAAGGCCCATGCATGGTTTTACATCCAATGCAATCTCGTGCACTATGGTTTTTTAAGCTTCAAGCATGAAAAATGCACAAGACCAATCAAACTCTAGACCACTTCATCATCACTTTAATGCCATGTAATGAAACCAACTATTGCAAAAGATTATGCTGTCTAATAAAAGTTCATGAATGGTTTTAAAATTTAACACTCCTATACCAAGGCATATAAGAAAAATACATTAAAAGGAAAGAACATTACAAAGTTATAAAACCACTCTACATACATAACAAGGAGAGTACGAGTAGAAACACACGAGAGAAATCCCAAAAAATTATTATATACAGTGGTAAATTAAAGACAATAAAGAACTCATCCCAATAAACTAATAAATGTCATTGTTCAAAACATTAGTGACAAAAGAGATTAACACCATGTTAAGAAGAGAGAAGCCAAGAAGGAACATAATGAATTTTGTGTGTTTTGTACACATGAGTATTCTTATGTATAATGAAGAAAAGACACAATAATAAGGAACAAAATCAACATATATATTTGAAATCTCATATTGACTAGAGATAAGAACAAATTATAATATAAGTAAATGCAAACCTAACTTTAAAAATACATTTTGTGTATTGTGAGATTGTATTAGGCTTATAATTCACTTTCTAAGAATATAATAATAGGAAATGTTGGGTGAGATATTTCCCTATCATATCATATCTCCCTATTTCGTGCAATCAAATCACATCTCTAACATAATCAAATCATATCTCTAATATAATGAAATCATGTCTCTAACCATCATAGCAGACAACCTGTCTCCAAACTCAACCTCCATTTCTCTATCACACACTAATGTCTCATTTTCATAAGTTTCTGCAAGCTTTCATCATGTACCCTTTATCTAAGAACATATATTTAGGTTATGTTTGGTTTATGAAAGAAAGTGAGAGAAAAGAAAAGGAGTGAAAAAATGAATTCCTCCTGTATGATTTTTATAGGACGTGAACGGACAAAATGAGTAAAATGACATAAAATCTCTAAATAACAAAATGATTTGTGATATAAATAAGCCTTTTGCAGTCTTTAATCTCCAGAAGCTTTCATACACTTTTCTTTCTATTTAGAAAGAAACACTTTTTTTATGCGGCGTCCATAACTTTTTCTTTACCCTTTGTACTTTGACAATACCAAATGATGAAAGATTTCAAATGTGACGTTTTCCCTTTTTTCCTTGCAAAATCATTCCTCTTATTTTTGGCTAAACCCGACAGATGATATAGTAAAAAGGCACAGTCATCAGGCTCTGCTGCTCAACAGTTAATTCTAGTACAAAATGTACAGAAAAATGATAAATTTTCCACAATGATCCCACTTGAAATTAGGCTAAGCTGATGACTAATAATTACTTGGCCATGTAGCACATAGCTATAGATCAAATGAATTGAGAAACCATTCCAAATACATGATTTAGCTAATTGACTGTCCAAACAAGATGGAATACTTAATAGATTTGCTAAATCTACCACTTGTCTAATCATCAGCATCATAAAATGAAATTTCTGCTATAAGTTCCTAAAATGAAACTCCAAACTAAAGCCGAAACAGACAGAAGGTGGTCCATCTGTATCTAAGGCGAAGTAAAAAAACTTAGGCAGAATTCATTTAACTAACAGCATCTTATACCTTCCATGTAGATTTTGAATCCCCTGTTTTTGCTGACCTGAGCATTTCATGTAGCAATCCTGCAGAAAGTTTATCATAAACAGAAATTAAGAATAATCAGATCAGAAAGCAACTGGTCAAGGCTAAATTTTAAGCATTTTACAATTAAAATGTTCGACGAAAGAAAAATTACAAAAATATGCAATCCTTGCAAATGAATTACTGATTTCAAATATCTGTATTGTTAAAAGGACCCCTTTCAAATATCTGTACATGTTTGCTAAAAGGACCCCTTTAAAATAATTATGATCTGCATACCATAAGGACACTAGGAATAAGGAAGACCACTTCTATCTTGAATGGATACAAAATACACATTCCAAAGCAATTTAAGCTTGAGTAAAAAAAATTAACGTGGCAGTGTAGCCGAGATTCAGACAAGCTCTTTGCTCCATAGAGACAAAATGGTTAATAGCAAGAAATTATCCCAAAACTCTATCATTCCTCTCTAAACACAATCATCAAGATACACACTACAATAATAGCCTTATCCCACTAAGCGAGTCTGCTACATGGACCACATGACACAATTCAGCCCAATTAAAGACCAAATTGATACCATTTACCGTGAGATTCCTGTTATTAACTTCCCCTAATTAGTCTTTGTCTAGTCCTTTTTCACAGGATTACAAACCTTGCACCCTACTCTCCTTACTGGTGCTTCCAGTGTCATTCTTTGTAGGTGTTCAAAGCACTGTAACTGATGTTCAGTACTCAGTAATACTACACCAATATTTTCTTGTAATCACCTATATTCATTTTGCAACATAAGCCACCTTAAAATTCTAATTTCTACTACTCTCACCTACCTGCCCAAAAAACTCACTCTTCAGTTTTCCCAAAACCCCTGACATGGCATTTCAAAAAGTGCTCCAAACTCAATCAACGGATCCAGCTTTGAACAAAAACTACCAAACAACCTAAACAACAAATATCGGGCAGCTAGACAGCCTAAAGATAAATGGCTACAAGTCTCAAACTGAAGCAAAAACACATAACATCAACATTTAGAGAGAAGTCAGTGAGTTCATCAAAAATCAACAACGAAAGACTTTGCATACAAAGGTGAGCATAAATTTCTAAAAGGAGATTACGGGAAGGAATTAAGAACCAGAATTTTGCTTCCAAGTGTACATCCCAAAGAACTCAAAAGTACAAATTTTAATATCCAATAAGAAATACGATCGAATATAAAGCAAAGCTATTCAGACCAGTTCAGCTTAAAAAAAAAAAGATACGTTGATGGAGTTCCCCAAACAAAAAGGAGCTTCAAATGGTTCCTATTTTTAACACAACAAATCATAAAGATCATTTCTGTCAGCCATATTTCCATGAATCTATGCATATTATAACACAGCATACTAGTCTCACATGTAGAAGTCCGATTCTTAATAATATCCGTTGCAATATCCTTTGACAATTGGCTTCTACATTCACTTAGGAGAACATCGTATCGAAGAGACTACTAGCATTGACCTCCTATTTCTTGCAGCTTGGGTAAAATCATAGGTGAAAAGAAAAAAAGCGATTTTCATCCCAATCAAGAAAATTGTAGAAACTAAATACTAATGGCTCTCGAGCAGATTCCGATCCCCTTTAAGTACAATCTTCGCAGAGTTCCCATAACGCACCAGCTGCTGACTTGCATTCACCTACTCTGTCATTTAGCTGATAACACTCCCAAAAAAAATAGAACATACACCAAGAGCAAATTGTATTTGCATTCACCGAGATCAGAACCAATGAGTAACAAAATTCGCAATGAGCAAACACCATATAGCCTCCTTTACAAAACCAAAAGCGAAAAAGACAGCCAAACAAAAAAGAAAAGTTCTACTAGCTAACAGATACTTGAAGCGATTCGGAACTTAATGTGAATTGATAAGAGAAGGGAGAGGTACTCACGCTCGCGGCTAACTTGTTTTAGGCTTTTGCAGTCAGCGCCATAGGAGGAGGAGGAGGAATCGGAATCCGACACGGACATTTCGACCTCTGACTCTGTGTCCTAAACCTCAATCGTTGATCGATCGCGAACAGAGGGAGATCGCCGGCAAATCGGAGAAGCTGATCAGGCTACGAGCACAGAAAGCAGGAGAAACGGAAACGGTTTGTTCAATTTCACTAAAATGGAAACGGCGAGGGAAAGGAAACAGGGAAACCGGAGGAGCTAATTCACGAGAAGAATTATAAATAGAAGCAAAGCAACAGCATTACCGATAGTTGAAGAGAGTATGACGTGTTGAACGGTGCAAAGGTTGAAGGAGTTCCAATTCGAGAAGGCGAGGTGAGAGACGAAGAAATTTCGCAGAAGCGGAGTGGACCGATTGAGGACGAGGTCCTGAACCGGAACCGCATGTTGCTGAACCGCCAGTGGGACCCACCCCCAACGCCAACTCATTTGCTATCATGCGCCTCGGTGTACAACTGCCTCCCTTGTTATCGTCGCATTCGTTTACTTTTTACCCAATTTGTTAATATTTTTAGGGAAAAAAAATATATGATTGCTCATCCTATCTCATCTCATCGTTTAACATCTCAACTACCTTTTTCTTTTCTGCGTGGACATTTCGTTTTCTAGTTTTCTTTTTTGAGAAAATGTAGGGTACGGAAATGGTACAGAATTACTAATTTCGNCTGCTGCTTCCCTCAGAACCACCCCCTTGATGGTTTGCACCCCCACTCATCAACCTCATCATTTGTTGCAAATCGCGTCTGATTGCCGCGGTCTCCTCTTTAATTCCCTCCACTGTGATCTCCAAGTTATCCAGTCTTCCCTCCGTCTCGCTACCCATCACTGGTTCTCCTCCTATCGGATCCGGCAGGTCGGACCAAATGATAGGTTCTTGAGATCAAGAACCTATGGACAAACACTCGAATACACACAAAGACAATTTATCTGAATTATACAGCCTCCTTTTATTGAAAAGAATGAAAAGAATCAACAAGAATGGTGATACAACGTAACCCGAGAGCTTAACCTCCCTCCAAAGAACTACAAGAGTTCCCGCCAAACAATAACACTCCAAAAACTCCCCCCTCTCACCAACCAACCCACCCCTTTTATACTGACTTACCTAACTGCCAGGCAGTTAGGCTGGGTAATGTTTCTTCTTCTACTAGATACAATTAGTTCCCTAACACTTTATCTCATCCTTCAAAGTAGTGGTATTTTGGAATTGGTTCCTTTTCCAACTGGGGAATCAATTTTTGGGTGTTAGTTATTGTACACTCTTAAAACAGAACCTAATGTTAAAATTGCTAGCTATAAAGCTCACTTGGTTGCAAAGGAAGAATACACACAAATTTGTGGACACAGTTGTTGCCAAACAATTAGTTGGTAAGCTAAATTACCTCACTGTAACTCTTCTAGATATTGTCATTACAATGAGCCTAGTAAGTCAACTCTTCAACTCTCCTCATCAAGAACATTGAGATGCTGTGCACACATCTTTTATAATCAGGAATATATTTTATAATCTTTAGAATCAGGAATATATGAATTATATATGTATTATTAGGAATATTTTTATTTATCCATGTATTATATCTTTATTATTAGAGGATGACATATCTCCTTTGTTTATTATACTGATTTCGTTTTCTCAATATAAATATAGTCTCAGAAACACACGGTTTCAGCTCAATGTCTCTCTACTTATCCAACTTTAGATTAGCTGAATTTTTGCCTTATGTCAACCAACCTTATATCTATATAGTTGCGTACCACCTGTACACATCAATCAATCAGAAAATACAGCCTTTCAATTCTTTTATATAATCCCAATGAAAACAAAAGGACAGTAATTTTATTCATATGAAAAGTCATATACGATGACAGTCATAGAAGACTACGGTGATCAAGCAGTGAAATTGACTACTAATGCACAACCACATACCTGAGTGTCTATGGTAAAATACTCCAAGTTCATCTGCATCGAAATGAGGTCACAAAATGACAATAAGAAAATTTTGAATTTTTGGGGGAAAATTCAAGTTCCGTGTAGACCCCAAAAAGAAATCTCACCTCTCTTAGAGCACCTATTCGAGGCAACACCTGTGCATCTTTTTTAATTTCCATAACCAATTCTCTGGCAATAGGTGAACTAAAGAAAACAAATGCCCTACAAGAACCCAGAATAAAATAGGATTGAAAACCAATTAGCAAATGTCAATATGAACTTGCACTCACTGGAGATGTATAAAGGTCACATACTTCCTGTACAAGGGTTTCCTTCCAGACATGTCTGACAAAAACATAATTATGCTGCCAACAAAAATGAACAAAGAAATCATTAGGCATGGAACAATTCACAAAAGCCTACTGCGTATAGGTTAACTAAAACCACAACCAAAGCTGAATCAAGCCATTTTACAGCCACAAAAGCTAAGAATATTTTTCATTTTAACTTTTATATTTCCTCATCAGTAAAAAAGGGAGAGAAAGTGACAGAGTGATAGAAAGAATAACAATAAAATATTTATGTGTAAATGATACATTTTGTAGATAAGAAAAAAAAAATACCGTATGATTCATGAAATAAAGAATAAAATAAAGAGTTAATTGCAAGAGACTATAGGAAAAAAAATAATACTCTCAAATTTAGGAACCTATGACCACTGAGATTTTATTTTCAACCAAGAGATTCGAAGTTATGCTAACAAAAATAACTTTGAAACTGCATATGTATAGACATTACAGACATACTTCAAAAGAAACTCTGAAACATACATACCAAAATAGACATGCACCACAAAATTAACTACATAGTTTCAGTACATTAATCCTAAAACTGAAAACTATCAACAACACAATCTGTCCATTTGTTTTCTTGGCCAGTATCAACACAAAATCTCTGTTGTACAAGTATTTTTTACATGTTGCTAAACAATAACCTTCAGCATGAGGAACTTTAACTTTTCCTGTAGAACTAACAGAAATCACGCAAAAAGCAACCATGAAAGACCAACAAAAAAAACAACTTCTAGGTCCTCTTCTATTGTGTTTTTGATCCATGAGCAACCTCAAATTAATTAAAGACAAATCAGTATATATGCCACCACAAACATGAGACAAAGGACAAGTACTTCTCTCTTGTTGGCTGTATGAAGTATATAGCATCCATAGCGGGCAACGGCTGCCTTCGCTTGTATATGTCTTCAACCACTGCAAATATAAAAACATATTACACCGTTCAAGAATTAGAACTAGTGATGCAAAATATAGGTTACAAAATAATTATCTTCCATAAACATGTTAGTTAAATCCAATATTGATAGCTAAGAAAAATAGTTCTTTAACGGAATGATTGAAGTTCATTAAAACATATAGCTGAACAAGAAGTGTAATTAAAGCACAAAAGCTGCAAGTTTAACAAAGGTGGAAACATCAACGTTACAATTAAATTTCTGACGGCACAAAAATAGCATCAAATCTTAAAATCAGAGGCAGTTAATGCTGAATGAAAAGGAAATCAATCCCCTTATTCAGAAGTTAGAAAATTTATGAAGGGGAATGTAATACAGTGAATCTGTTAAACTACATTCCCCACAAAATTGGAATGTGAGCCAAAGTAGAATTAATTAAATTTTTATAATGGTTGTATTAAAACTTTACAACCCCTTAACTTCTCCTTTCTTGTCTGGTTAATTATCCAAACAAAGGGAAGGCAACTCCATTCCATTTCATTTTTTGCCTTCCCTTTCCATTTTATTTCATATATTTCCTTTCCAATCCATTCTCACTTCCAAAAAAAAAAATTTAAAAGCAATGCCTCAAAACTAATAGTCGATTAGAACTCCCAATAAATTCCAAAAAGAAAAGAAAGAAGAAACCAGTTCCTCTGCGTTTCTTTCTGTCAATCAAAGACCTCTAAGAGTTATGACAAGTAATATCAGCAATTAGTACATGAAGGATCAGATTTCTCCCACAGTTCAAATGTCATATAAAAAGGAATCATATCACACATAATTGAACAAGGTAAAGGGTGTAATCACATTCCTTCATTTATAATTATATTATTTTTCTACAAGATGAATACAATAGAAGAACATGGAATCACCCTGCTATCTATGTATTTACCACTTTACCAGTCTCGTCATTACTGGTAGACTCAAAATCCTGAAGCAAAAAAGGAAGCAACTGTTCTTTTTATTAACTCTTTTTGTTTAGGTAACTTTTTCTTTTAACAGAAAATTAACCACATTTAACAACTTGAATAGCATATATTCAGATTGCATTCTTTGGAGTATAAATAAAAATTTTACATTTGAATATCAGAGAATAACTCAACAACCATGCTATTAAAACCAAATCGTAGAAAATCAATAGGTCTTTCACTGACAGTGGACAGAACAAAAATGGTAAATCAAACTTGTGATTCTTACATGACACGCCTTCATCAGTGATATCAGCCATCTTGCAAGAATGAGACATTATCTTTACAGTGAGTTTGTCCATTATTAGTACCTGCAGGCAAGCAGTTCATGAACCATACAAGATGGTAAACAAATGAAGCATGATGTTTTAGTCATTTTCAAGCTAAAGTGGGTTCCTTGAAAAAGAAACAAATGTGTGGATTAAAAGTCAATCTCCCTGTGAAGAACCAAGAATCCCAAAAGCTTATATTATTAGGAGAAGGCCCATGCATGGTTTTACATCCAATGCAATCTCGTGCACTATGGTTTTTTAAGCTTCAAGCATGAAAAATGCACAAGACCAATCAAACTCTAGACCACTTCATCATCACTTTAATGCCATGTAATGAAACCAACTATTGCAAAAGATTATGCTGTCTAATAAAAGTTCATGAATGGTTTTAAAATTTAACACTCCTATACCAAGGCATATAAGAAAAATACATTAAAAGGAAAGAACATTACAAAGTTATAAAACCACTCTACATACATAACAAGGAGAGTACGAGTAGAAACACACGAGAGAAATCCCAAAAAATTATTATATACAGTGGTAAATTAAAGACAATAAAGAACTCATCCCAATAAACTAATAAATGTCATTGTTCAAAACATTAGTGACAAAAGAGATTAACACCATGTTAAGAAGAGAGAAGCCAAGAAGGAACATAATGAATTTTGTGTGTTTTGTACACATGAGTATTCTTATGTATAATGAAGAAAAGACACAATAATAAGGAACAAAATCAACATATATATTTGAAATCTCATATTGACTAGAGATAAGAACAAATTATAATATAAGTAAATGCAAACCTAACTTTAAAAATACATTTTGTGTATTGTGAGATTGTATTAGGCTTATAATTCACTTTCTAAGAATATAATAATAGGAAATGTTGGGTGAGATATTTCCCTATCATATCATATCTCCCTATTTCGTGCAATCAAATCACATCTCTAACATAATCAAATCATATCTCTAATATAATGAAATCATGTCTCTAACCATCATAGCAGACAACCTGTCTCCAAACTCAACCTCCATTTCTCTATCACACACTAATGTCTCATTTTCATAAGTTTCTGCAAGCTTTCATCATGTACCCTTTATCTAAGAACATATATTTAGGTTATGTTTGGTTTATGAAAGAAAGTGAGAGAAAAGAAAAGGAGTGAAAAAATGAATTCCTCCTGTATGATTTTTATAGGACGTGAACGGACAAAATGAGTAAAATGACATAAAATCTCTAAATAACAAAATGATTTGTGATATAAATAAGCCTTTTGCAGTCTTTAATCTCCAGAAGCTTTCATACACTTTTCTTTCTATTTAGAAAGAAACACTTTTTTTATGCGGCGTCCATAACTTTTTCTTTACCCTTTGTACTTTGACAATACCAAATGATGAAAGATTTCAAATGTGACGTTTTCCCTTTTTTCCTTGCAAAATCATTCCTCTTATTTTTGGCTAAACCCGACAGATGATATAGTAAAAAGGCACAGTCATCAGGCTCTGCTGCTCAACAGTTAATTCTAGTACAAAATGTACAGAAAAATGATAAATTTTCCACAATGATCCCACTTGAAATTAGGCTAAGCTGATGACTAATAATTACTTGGCCATGTAGCACATAGCTATAGATCAAATGAATTGAGAAACCATTCCAAATACATGATTTAGCTAATTGACTGTCCAAACAAGATGGAATACTTAATAGATTTGCTAAATCTACCACTTGTCTAATCATCAGCATCATAAAATGAAATTTCTGCTATAAGTTCCTAAAATGAAACTCCAAACTAAAGCCGAAACAGACAGAAGGTGGTCCATCTGTATCTAAGGCGAAGTAAAAAAACTTAGGCAGAATTCATTTAACTAACAGCATCTTATACCTTCCATGTAGATTTTGAATCCCCTGTTTTTGCTGACCTGAGCATTTCATGTAGCAATCCTGCAGAAAGTTTATCATAAACAGAAATTAAGAATAATCAGATCAGAAAGCAACTGGTCAAGGCTAAATTTTAAGCATTTTACAATTAAAATGTTCGACGAAAGAAAAATTACAAAAATATGCAATCCTTGCAAATGAATTACTGATTTCAAATATCTGTATTGTTAAAAGGACCCCTTTCAAATATCTGTACATGTTTGCTAAAAGGACCCCTTTAAAATAATTATGATCTGCATACCATAAGGACACTAGGAATAAGGAAGACCACTTCTATCTTGAATGGATACAAAATACACATTCCAAAGCAATTTAAGCTTGAGTAAAAAAAATTAACGTGGCAGTGTAGCCGAGATTCAGACAAGCTCTTTGCTCCATAGAGACAAAATGGTTAATAGCAAGAAATTATCCCAAAACTCTATCATTCCTCTCTAAACACAATCATCAAGATACACACTACAATAATAGCCTTATCCCACTAAGCGAGTCTGCTACATGGACCACATGACACAATTCAGCCCAATTAAAGACCAAATTGATACCATTTACCGTGAGATTCCTGTTATTAACTTCCCCTAATTAGTCTTTGTCTAGTCCTTTTTCACAGGATTACAAACCTTGCACCCTACTCTCCTTACTGGTGCTTCCAGTGTCATTCTTTGTAGGTGTTCAAAGCACTGTAACTGATGTTCAGTACTCAGTAATACTACACCAATATTTTCTTGTAATCACCTATATTCATTTTGCAACATAAGCCACCTTAAAATTCTAATTTCTACTACTCTCACCTACCTGCCCAAAAAACTCACTCTTCAGTTTTCCCAAAACACCTGACATGGCATTTCAAAAAGTGCTCCAAACTCAATCAACGGATCCAGCTTTGAACAAAAACTACCAAACAACCTAAACAACAAATATCGGGCAGCTAGACAGCCTAAAGATAAATGGCTACAAGTCTCAAACTGAAGCAAAAACACATAACATCAACATTTAGAGAGAAGTCAGTGAGTTCATCAAAAATCAACAACGAAAGACTTTGCATACAAAGGTGAGCATAAATTTCTAAAAGGAGATTACGGGAAGGAATTAAGAACCAGAATTTTGCTTCCAAGTGTACATCCCAAAGAACTCAAAAGTACAAATTTTAATATCCAATAAGAAATACGATCGAATATAAAGCAAAGCTATTCAGACCAGTTCAGCTTAAAAAAAAAAAGATACGTTGATGGAGTTCCCCAAACAAAAAGGAGCTTCAAATGGTTCCTATTTTTAACACAACAAATCATAAAGATCATTTCTGTCAGCCATATTTCCATGAATCTATGCATATTATAACACAGCATACTAGTCTCACATGTAGAAGTCCGATTCTTAATAATATCCGTTGCAATATCCTTTGACAATTGGCTTCTACATTCACTTAGGAGAACATCGTATCGAAGAGACTACTAGCATTGACCTCCTATTTCTTGCAGCTTGGGTAAAATCATAGGTGAAAAGAAAAAAAGCGATTTTCATCCCAATCAAGAAAATTGTAGAAACTAAATACTAATGGCTCTCGAGCAGATTCCGATCCCCTTTAAGTACAATCTTCGCAGAGTTCCCATAACGCACCAGCTGCTGACTTGCATTCACCTACTCTGTCATTTAGCTGATAACACTCCCAAAAAAAATAGAACATACACCAAGAGCAAATTGTATTTGCATTCACCGAGATCAGAACCAATGAGTAACAAAATTCGCAATGAGCAAACACCATATAGCCTCCTTTACAAAACCAAAAGCGAAAAAGACAGCCAAACAAAAAAGAAAAGTTCTACTAGCTAACAGATACTTGAAACGATTCGGAACTTAATGTGAATTGATAAGAGAAGGGAGAGGTACTCACGCTCGCGGCTAACTTGTTTTAGGCTTTTGCAGTCAGCGCCATAGGAGGAGGAGGAGGAATCGGAATCCGACACGGACATTTCGACCTCTGACTCTGTGTCCTAAACCTCAATCGTTGATCGATCGCGAACAGAGGGAGATCGCCGGCAAATCGGAGAAGCTGATCAGGCTACGAGCACAGAAAGCAGGAGAAACGGAAACGGTTTGTTCAATTTCACTAAAATGGAAACGGCGAGGGAAAGGAAACAGGGAAACCGGAGGAGCTAATTCACGAGAAGAATTATAAATAGAAGCAAAGCAACAGCATTACCGATAGTTGAAGAGAGTATGACGTGTTGAACGGTGCAAAGGTTGAAGGAGTTCCAATTCGAGAAGGCGAGGTGAGAGACGAAGAAATTTCGCAGAAGCGGAGTGGACCGATTGAGGACGAGGTCCTGAACCGGAACCGCATGTTGCTGAACCGCCAGTGGGACCCACCCCCAACGCCAACTCATTTGCTATCATGCGCCTCGGTGTACAACTGCCTCCCTTGTTATCGTCGCATTCGTTTACTTTTTACCCAATTTGTTAATATTTTTAGGGAAAAAAAATATATGATTGCTCATCCTATCTCATCTCATCGTTTAACATCTCAACTACCTTTTTCTTTTCTGCGTGGACATTTCGTTTTCTAGTTTTCTTTTTTGAGAAAATGTAGGGTACGGAAATGGTACAGAATTACTAATTTCGTAATTTCGTAAGTATATATTCAATTTATCCTTCAAAAATTGACGAAGACTGAAAATTCAGTTATGTTTAACCTTGTTTTCTTTGCCTTTGGAATAGATGATGAAAAGATTTTAAGAAAAAAACGTAAATAAAAATAAGATCTTTTAATTATTAATGTTTTTATTATTTTAATAAAAAATTATTTGTTACTATAAAGATTTTAAAAACATGCATATTTAAAAAATGTTAAAGAGAAAAATAATAACAACAATCAAATCTATCAAAACATGCGGTCAATTTTTTTTTTCCAAACATGTAATAATATATGAAAAAGTATCAATATTTTTATTATGATTCGTGTGAACGGAAAAACAAAAAAAAAATAGTAAATCAAGATTCATTAAGATTTAATATAGGTAAGATATCAAATCAAATATGTTCGAATATAAAGAACAAAGAAAAGAAAGAGAAACATGAAATAGAGTACTTGTACAAGACTAATTTCTTTAATCACAAATTTCTAATTAATGACCCAACCATTAAAATGAAAAACGCTATAACACAATATGTGGTCAAACTTTCAGTTCAATTCAACATTATATATCAATTACAATTTTTCCTATGTGGCATTGTGAAATATGAATAAATTTTCTCTTGGGAAAATAAACTTTCATCTTGAACTAAGAGGTCCTTCTCTACTTAGATTAAATAGTGAGACAAAATAAACTTAATTATGTGAAACATTTTAGACATGTAATTGGGAGTCCAACACAACACATCTTTGCACTCGTATATGTGGAGGCGAGGGTTAATTCGATGATCTTATAACAAACCTTATTCATGGTATCGGCAACATTGTCATCTATACAAACTTTATTCAATCTCAACAACTTAGCATTCAAAGTATCACATATCCAATGATACATCACGTCAAAATGTTTGGACCTATAATGAAAATTATATTCTTACTTAATAGCACTTTGGCCATCAACAAATAATGAATAGTTGTTATGCACAAAACCAAACTCCTGTAATGATTTCTTCAACCATAATAACTTTTTGCATGTTTTTGTAGTGGCAATGAATTGTCCTCGTAATAGACAACGTTATACACCTTTGCAATCTTAATTGCTATGTCACATCTTTCATTGCAAACTTTTGAGATGCACATAATATATGTAGTTATTATATATATATATATATATATATATATATATATATATATATTGTAAATATTATAACTATAGGATACATCTATATCTTTTCTTTTCTAATGTTACTTTCTTAATTACTATTTTTAAAATTAAATTATTATTCATAATAAAAAACTATTTTTAGTTTTATCATTTTAGTAACTATTTTTTTAATTTAAATAATTACATAATAATTTAAAATATTTATAATGTTGAGAAAAAAATCATATAGAGAAACTATAATGTTTAGCAACCCATGTTTTGAATTTTATCAAATAATACTCAACGAATTATAGAAAGTAGTGAGATATTGCTTATAGAAAGTAGCCTCTAAATGTTTGGATATACTAAAAAATAATATTAAATGAAGTAAATATTTGTCAATATAATCGTTGATCTAAAACACTAAACAACACTATGTAATAAATGTTTAAAGTTATTATATTCAGCATATAGTGTTGAAAATGCAAAACATGTGCCTAATCAAACGATAAAGCGACTAGACTTTTTCATACATAAACAGTGTAACATTATGTAGTCAACTTTATGAAACAAACGTTTAGAAAATATGTCATATACATCGATTTGCCATTAAATGATGCTTTAATTAAATTATGTTGACATATGCAAGAATACCTTGAACACGTAACGTGCTTGATGATCATCAACGGTTAAAAAATTAATATTGTATGAAAAAAGTGTTTTTATGCTTGCATGCTTTGTTCTTTTCTTCGGTGCACAGTAAATGATAACACCAAGCTTTGTTCAAAAATTCCTGCACATAGATAAAGAAAAGACGTTGAGATAAAGAGATATTCATAAAATGTTTTCTCAAAGCTTCTTGCTCTATCACTCTACAACATAGACCCGAGTCTCACCAAGCTACCTAAAAGGCTATGAAACCTATCTAGAAGTCAACTTTGTGTCTAATGGTCATCTCTCATGGAAGTCTATATAAATATGCCTTGCAATAAAGGAAAAAATATATGGTAGAGTGCACAAGCCAGAACTAGACAAAATGCGAAGCACAAGAGAGGTAAACAAAGAGGAAGATAAGAAAAAGAGAGAAAAGAGAACTATCATTGCATAATTATCTTACCACTCTATCCTCAAAATCAAAACGTCAACAACTTCCATTCAGAGAAAAGAATAAGAAATCTATTATAAACTATTTGCTCCAAAGGTCTATCTTCAAGCTCATAATAGCTAATGTTTACACTCAAAAAGTAAAAAAAGAGAAAACAAGATAGCAATTGTAGAACAAACACTTTTCTCAAAGGTCACATCATCTAAATCTTCCAATCAAAAAGAGAGGGAGAGTAATTACAAAATTTCAAAAATATTTTGTATTACTCATGTATTCTTTCTAAAAGAGTTGTTTGTGACTTGTGAGAAAACACATGTAAACTAGGAGTCATAATAATACTTAGATACCAAGAGTGGTCACAATACTTGAAATCAAAAGTGGTTTATAATACTTGAACTAGTCATGATTGACTAGGAAAACCAATAATGGTTTGTAATACTCGGACTAGTTAAGATTGACTAAGGGAACTAATAGTTATACTCGTCTGTAATATTGTATAAGATCATTGATACCCTTAAGAGAAACTGGACATGATTCAGATCGAGTGAACCAATATAAAATTTATACGTGTCGTTGTCTCTTTTATTCAAAACGTTCTTCTTAACTCTTTTTATTTATGCACTTTTATTTTTTGTTTCAATTTTTGTTTCTTTTATTTTGCATTTTTATCTTTATTTTATTTTTGTTATTTTTATTTTTATTTGTATTAAATTTATTTTTATTTTTATTTAATTTTATTTTTTTATCACCTTTTCTTAATTGTTTTTGTAAAAGAAAGAAAAATGAAAAAAATTGAAAAAATGGAAAATAAAATGCAGTGATCAACAAAGCTTTTTTTAGAGTCCTTTTATGGATTTGGCAGCAGTCGAGGTAAGCATTATCCGGTCATTAACCGTGCAAAGCAACGATGCTCACGATTCCCATTCTCATGATGCCTATCACGCGGTGCGATCGACTTTGTTCTTCTGGCTGGAAGAGAGTTAACACGAAAAAGGAAATGGTGTTTGTACAGGGTGGCATTGACCATGAAGCTAACACGAAAAAGAACAGGAAGGAAATCTCAAGTCTCCTGATTCCCAAGGAGAGCGGGAGGAAGCCTTTTCTATTGGGATGAATCTTTTCTTTTGGGGAGAGGAGCCATTTTGGATCCCATTATCACAGTTCATCTTTTGACTTCCACCTATGGCGTCTCACATCATTATACCATAGCCGAACCCCAAGCTCTTGACTCCCCTCACTTCCAACACCATTATCATTCACCCATTACGGTCTTTCACCTACAATAAAGGAATGATACAAGGTCACCTTCCGAAAAGATAATCAAGGAGCATTGATCGAAGATTACAAGCCATATCACAAAAGTGAAATCAGAGGTAAGTCTTGCTACTCCATCGCTCTTGCACGTATGAGTCTTTATTTCGTTGTAAGAGTTAGCATTTCTGTCCTTACTTGCTAGTCCCGATTGCTCTCGTGCGTAAGCGTATGCGAATCTATGTTTTTTCCAAAATGTTATTTTTTTTTTCTTCGCCGCTTGTCTTTGTAAAGTCTTCATCACCCATTCGTGCTTAATCTGTACGAACACTAATCGTCACCTGAAAAAGAGATAAGGACCTGAAACCCATTGATCAATACTTATTCATTGCCCCCAACAACGGAGAACACTAAAACAGATTCAACGTGCCACAACCATTTTCACCCTCCAACCACCAGAAACCCAAAAGCCATACCCAATAAAACATGGTACAAATAAGAAGACAATCGTCGGTAGCATCGCCAGCGACATCGCCGGCGGCGAGTGTGGATTCCGTGTAGAAGCGACGCGATCACAACGGCTCGATTTCATCTTCGATTCGCATAACGGAAGGGAAGGAAGGTGGTTCGTGCGTTTTGGCCCTCACCGGTGATACCTTCGACGACGGCCAGGGTCACCGGCGGCAACTTGACGATGAGCGTTGACAGTGGCGTAGTGTGGCGAGCCTTGGCCGCGTAGGTGGGCACGGTCCGGTAGTCGCAGCGCGTGAAGGGAGAAACGTTGTGGGTGGCAGCGGCGCTTCCAGCATGGGTGACGTTGCCGGTAGCGATTCCGACCGACCACGGAGGTATGCAGCAACGTTGGTCCAAAGGAGAACCCCTTTCTGTTTTGTTTGAAGAGGAGAAACCTTTGCCACAGCTAGCCAGGGAAGAAATGGGGCAGCACTTTTCTTTTTCTCTGGTTCTTGCCTGAGGAAGAAAACCCTAAATAAGGGTTTGGGCCTTGGCCCACTTCCTTACCCCTATTTTCCATCCGCTGGACATCACCCCAAGCCTTGTGTTTCTTTTTATTTTTGGTTATCATTTTTAAAACTTATTTATTCCACTTACTTGCGACACATCCATATTAACTTACGCATTTTTTGCTTTATAAATGTCTAATAAAAAATTGTAAAATAAAGACAAGATATAAAAAGGATAAAATTAAAAAACTACCAAAAAAATAGATTTAATAGTTTTTAGTGTTTAAAAATCTT